GCTTCTGTTCCGAGTTCATCACCTTTAAAACAGACGTCTAAATGATATCTACTCATTTCTTATCTAACATAAAAAAAAAGTATTGAATAATCATAATTTCAATTAATTATAAGTATATACTCAGTTGTTTATGTTTTTGACTTTTACAATTAATAAATATCTTGACTACGGAAGCTTGATTAATAGATGAAAATCAATTATATCAGATAATGTATAAAGTTAAACAAAAATTAATACAAACATAAATTGTGTAGGTACGAGTTAATTAGTAATTATTTATAATTTGGTGTCTCATCACATTTTAGTAAAAATATTAATACAGTAATTTAAAAAAAAAAGAATGTAATTTTGGGAAAAGTTGTTTCCGTCAGAGAAGATCGGTAAGTTCTTAGAATTTGTTTCCCCCTTTTTTTTCGAACTTTTAAAACGAGTTTAATGAAAATTCTTGGTTTCATATTTAATAAAACAAGGATATTCATATAATAAAAATTAAATATTTGAGCTGAAATATTAAACGTTACCTAAAAATGTGAGATGATACTTATTTCAAAGGACTTTTTAGATAGGATTCAATTTTCATTTTGAAAATTTAATTAATATATTTTAAATTATCCTACGATTAAGAGCCAAGTTCGGAAATTAATTTAATATTAATGATGCATGAATAATTAATTTTAAATGCTACTCTTACTACCTCTGATTATTATATGGTTACGGTGATGGGATGTACAATATTAGCCGTACCTCTTGATGAGAGACGGTGTTTCAGTGGCGTATAATTCCTATTTGCATGATGATTGGAGGTATCCCCACTAGACTCAGCTAGGCCATTCCGAGCCCAAACCGCTCTCATGTGAAATTCCTTCATTTTAACAGGAATTCCACTCCAGCTTCCAGGATTTGTAACTCTTTGCTTTATGTTCTGCATCCATGCCAATTTTTTCAAGTAATAATCAGTACTAGCAACTTCTTTTTTTTATGATATAATTCATGAGTGAACTCGTTAAAGCATGTCCAAAGAATAACTAAGTCACAATTAATAAGTCAATTTCTAAATTAAAGTATTTTTTTATGCACATTAATGTGTTACAATTACAAATTACTTTTTTTTTCTTTTAATCTTTTCCACATTTTACATTTGCCGTAAATCCAACTTTAATTAACATTGACAATTTTCTTCTTAGTCTAGAAAAAATAATTTGGTTGTGGAATCTTGTCACAACTAATAAAAATGTGCTTCAAGTTATATTATTAACGGTAAAGTTATACGGTACAATAGGATCAAGTTTGAATTGATCAGACTCCTTAGAGAAAAGGAATGCTTCTGCGAGGTCTATTGCATCGACAGTGAAGGCTCAACCAGGTATGCGGACATTGTTGCATTTCCCCTTACAGGAAAGACAACTCTGATCTTGGATCCTGTCCGTTTTGAGAGCAATGACCTCGATCAGGCGGATGAAGTGGAAAGAGAAAAGAAAAATATATATGATAAAAGTATCCATATTCTAAAAGAGAAGTTCCGTGTGATCTTCGGAGATGGAGAGTTCACTGTGAGAGGCCTCTGGTTTGGGTCTCGCGGAACGATCCCAAAAAGAACAAGGAACTTCCTTGAGGAACTGGGTGTTGACGTTGGGAGCTTGCGATATTGGCCGAGAATATTACTCTAGACTCTCTGAATATCATCCAGTATCACTTGTATAGTGATTGATTGTGTATTTAGGATGTATTTTGTAATTTATTTATTTATTTATTCAATTTTAATTTTTATCTATATCCATGTAATTGCATTGTATATGTGGGTGTCTTGTATTTCTAGCATTCGAATATTTTTTTTCTCCAGTAAATGTATGTTATGTAATGATAATTATTTAATGTGGTATACTAGACTGTAACTCCTAGCTGAACACACCTCCCTGAAGAAGACCTGCAAAGTCGGTTCGAAACGTTGGCTTTTAATAAAAAATTTACCACTATTTGGCCTATTTATGACCGCCACCCCGAACCATCTCCTTCCTTTATAATGCAACCGTCAACTATTAAATATTCAATATTATTATTATTGTGAAATAATCTTCTTTTTATCGTGATTAGTAAATAATAAATCATTTTTAGAATCTTATACCTTTATACATTGGAGCAGAACATTGTTTTTAACTCGATAATTATTCTCGTTATTTATTTATCTTATTATTGAAGTATTTAATATCCAAAAGCAGTTCATGTGATGTATGTATTTATTTTTATCCATCGTTTCCTTTCATGCTCAACATCGCAGTGCGGCGATTCAAAAGTACTTAGAGTAACAGCTTTTATAAGCAGCTGAAGGCTAGAATACGGGTAGCATTTTTTTTTTTTTTCTACTGACTGGGGAAACGTTCTTGCAAAATTGGAATTTTCCGGGGCACAATGACCCATTGTTTATTAATCGAGGGCCTTTTGGTCGGCCCCCAAGTGGCCTATTGTCCCCATGTTCATTATTTGACCGCTCGCTAAGGAAACGAATTTGCCGCCCCAGCCGGGGACGGCAGCGCCGGGACCTGACAAAGGCTGAATAGGGCAGGTTATAGGAGGAATGAATGTCGTCGAGTAGCACTCATTGTAGGAGTGAGTTCCATTGTGGGTTCCGAGGGGCACTCCATGTCCATTCATCGCCATCCGGAGTGCATCCCCTACCTGTCTTCCTCCCCGTCGTCTTATGATCTCTCTCCTCCCGTTCTCAATAACTTCGAGGGGGCTAGTGTGATTCTTGCCGCCTCCATGGAGATGAATATATTGACTGAAAATGAAAAATGCTTTCAATACACTGAGTGGATGTATGCATGAGTTCTTGCGATTCTGGGCATTCCATGCATAGGAGGGTACCTCAGAAATTGAAAGGGAGGAAATGTAATCATCCCGCCAGATCTACGTTTCTTTCTCTTTTTTTTCAACACATATTTGTTGAAATTTACAACTGTATTACATAAAAATGCAAATGTAAATTTGAAATTAGTAACATGGCATGTACAACATGAAGAGAAATCATTGGTAGCACTCCAATAATAGTTCTATATCTGAAGGTCCCGAGGGCCTCTTCTTCACAGACGCCTCGGAGAATCATCAGGAACAGAAGAGGAAGCAAGGTTAGAAACAAGAGGGTTCAGATCGTTCAAAACTTTATTATAGAAGGATAGGTATCTGGATTGAGCTAAATCGGAAACATGTTGTAAATTAATGTTGTTATGGATGATTTTATTTGTATCATAGTAGAAACCATTTTTCTAAGGATTGGATACGAGAGAGATTTGATGGTAGTAGAGCCCCAAAGCTCGATCCCGTAAGTCCAAACCGACCTTATTATAGTAATATATATATATGAGTCTATTGTAAATAACTGCAAGTTGTAAGTTTGCAGCATTTGTCTAGTAAGTGCTGGAGTAGTCGAAAACGTCGAGCGGCTTCTAGTCGTTTCAGTGAGGTATGAGGATTCCAAATGAGTCGTTTGTCAAGATGGAGTCCCAGGTATCAAATTTGTTCAACAGGGAGAACTAGGTCACTTAAATATGAGACTGCAAAATCGTAACATACATTTTAGAAAATCGATTAAACGTGTTATATTCAATTACCGGTCGGTGGTTTTATCTTTTAACTGATAATGCTTTAAAACACTCAGATGATCTCGCCGAATATTTTAACTTAAAAATCGATATTTCCGTTCCTTAAAAAAATCGTTACTTATCTTAACTGACAACCCAAACAAATACGAGTAAACATCGTATTGTTTCGCTTTCAAAATACTCAGGGAATCTTGCCGAATAATTTATCATATCAAACTTAAAAATTTATCTAGCCATTCGCACAAAAAAATGGTTACACATATTTTAGTGAATTGATTAAACACATTTTATTCAACCACAGTGTTTTTAACTCAATTTGTTTCAAAACGCTGACGTGATCTCACTTCAAAAATGTGAGCAACAAAACCTAAAAATTGATCCAGCCGTTTTTCATAAAAATCATTACATAGCTTTTAGCGGTAAACCCAAACTCGTAACCCTCGTATCACTTTGCTTAGTCAAGTGAAAATTCTTTACGACTCGTTGTAAAAAATATTTTTCGCTTTCATAATTTAATGTATACACATTGATCGACAGAAAAATAATATGTATGTATATATATATATATATATATATATATATATATATATATATAAATCAGGTTACTGGAGTAATGTTTCCACATCATGGGTTCAAAGTGTAATAAATTATCCCTGGTTATTTAAACTGCTATTTTAATTTTATTTCCCTGTGTTTAATAGCTTTGTTGACTTCCAACCGTCTTAAATTTTTATGTCTGAGGAAGATGTTCTTGTCTTATTTAAGACATCTGATGTTTCTCTTTACCTAACGAACCATATAAAGACATAATTTTTAGAGGGTAATGTTTATAAAATAGGAAGTAATATCCTAGATAATAAATTCCTCCATGAAATAGTCCACCAGAGAGCGTATAAAAGTCAATACTAATAAAAGAGTATTCCATCCCCTCCGCATCCCAGAACTATAAACGTGTCTTATGTCGTATTTACGTCTCCTCGTATGGATATTTTATTTATACACGATGTATACTTATATTATTTATATAATACCCATAAATAGGACTTTTTATAAAAGTACTAATCTGGTTTTTAGCCAACTGTTTTCATATTTACTCCCAGTTGTTAATAATAATAAAAATTTATGATTATATTATTCGAGAACTTTAGAAGAGAAAATGTTTATTAATATATATAGTTAATATATGAAATATATTTATTCCAAAAACGTCATTTAGAATATGTATTGAGAAGATTTTTTTCTTTATAATTCTGAACTAATAGCTACGTCCATCAGATAAGCTATCTGAAATATGAACCGGGTTATGTTAAAGATAAATTTTATATATTTTGATTAAACAATTTATATACTTCAATTAGATTTTATTTATTATATTTTACGACTTAATGAATAATTTGTTTGCAGAGTCCGGACAGAAAACCACGGCGGGGCCTGGTGCCCGAAACAGCAGATTACGACTGAACCGAAGGAATGGCTAGAGATCGACCTACACTCTGTACATGTTATCACTGGAGCGGAGACCCAAGGGAGGTTCGGCAACGGGCAAGGCCAGGAATTTGCCGAAGCGTACGTCCTGGAGTACTGGAGACCGCGGTTGGGGAAGTGGGTGCGCTACAGGAACATCAAAGGCAAAGAGGTCAGTAAATCATAATCCATATATATATATATATATATATATATATATAATAGACACACGATGGTTTTAAAGTAAATGTTACGGTAATAAATGCTTTAAGTGAAATTTTGAACTTTAATGTGAACTTTATCAACTTTATGCTCCATTACAAAGTCAACTACCAATCGGCTATTGCGACAGGATTAAGATTTAGGCATTGTACTCATTTTTGCTCCATTTTTTGTGCCTATAATGTTTATTATCTGACAATGAATTGAGAACTATCTATTACTGGTACAGTTTTTAATACTGCTACATTTACCTTACATTAGCATTTTTCGTTGTTGTTTTTTAAACTATTTAAAGAAAATTTTACAGTACTTTAGTTTAAAGATTCTTTACTTAAATTTACCTCATCATTTTTACAAGATTGCACTTTAGTTATAGTGTCTACAAAATTTTAAGGAGCGGGGTAGCTCAGTGGGTGAGCTCTGAATTCCAGAGCTCAAGGTTCTGGGTTCGAATCCGGCTAATGATTAGTAATTTTTCATTGGCCGTGGCTCGACCCTGAGACCGGAAGATCCTCCTGGGGCACACCCAGCCTCTATAAAGTGGGCACCCTTAATTAAAAAAATAATTAAGGAAGAAAAACCTGGAGGTCGAGCCTGATATCGGCCCCATCACCTCCCTGCACAACCGTTGGCCTTGAAACAGTATTTCCTCACATAGTATTGCACCCAAGACCCTTCATACATGTGTGTTTATATATATAAAGTGAAAAAGGCAGGTATTTACATTCTTGAGGGAATATTTGTGATAGAAGTCTATCAAAAACAGTAAAAATATTTCCATTCTAATTTAAATATATCATATTTGTGGAGAAGTAGGTCATGGGGTGTGGACAATTGACACCTAATATATGGTATAGTAGCGTTTATTTGAATAGCCAAAATTTCTATCTACGTTGTAGGTGTTCATCATGGACTGTTGGAAGAAGACTGGAAAAAAAATAATAACTTCGGTTATTTGGTAATAGGTTTGGACCCAAATTTGATTCATTTTTCTATGTAAATTTGTATAGTATATAGTAAAAATGGGTCTTCCACTGACAAGTACTAACACTAAAAATATTTTTTTTAAATCTCTATTAAATAAAAAAGTTTTTAGTGAGTTTCGTATTTTATTCAGTATTAGGATAATAGGAGATAAGAGAAGCTCGACGATTATTTTAAAAATTATATAGCTATTCATTCTATTACACACGTGTTCAATTCCTGTTACCTTCTGCTCTACAAATCAAAATAAATAAAATAAAAAATTGTTGTTTTAAAAAATTGGAAATGTTTTTTTATCTTGATAAAAATTTTGTTTTATGTTGATAAAAAAAAAAATACAATCTGAACTACAGAACACATATAAATTAAAGTTATACAATTTGAGAAATGAATAGTACAATCTCACTTTTTTATTTTATTCGTGTCATTTATATATATGAATCCTTCTTGCTGTTTTCTTCGAAAGAGGTGTTTTAACCATTAAGTAAATTCTGAGCTCATCCGGACAGAGTAAAGAGCATAAACCATTACCTTGGCGAAGTGCAGGCTTTGGGGAATAGGATTTGGGACCCGGACGGTAATCCGCATCAAGAAGTTGGTCTGGCGGGGGGCCCCGAGGTGGCCGCCAATTAGCTTATACCCCCGGCCCGGATTTAATAACGAAATTCGTGGAAGTGGGGGAGGGGGAGGAATTAGGGAAACGTGGTCTTCGATTTATGGATGTGGTATTTAATATGGCACGGTCCGGTGGCTAGCCAAATGAGATTGCCGGGGTATTGGTGGATGGTTTGTGGGTTCTTGTCATCTCCACAAAGCCCCTTTGTCTTGGCCCAATAAAGGAACGGAAACGGTGGTCTTGTCAATGCTTAACGTGTGAGCTTATTTCCGCATGGCGGGCCCCTAAAGACCTGGATTTTAAACCCGTAATAGTTTAGGGAGTGTTAGTTTAACCTAGCAAATCAATATAATAAATAATACCAGACTTAAATATTTAAGCACATATTTATTTATTTTTTGTTGTAAATTGTGATGAAGGGAGATGATCTTGCAATTCCAACATCTATTTTATTTGTTCCTTAAAACAAAAATTAAATAATCTACTGGTCTACTATATCACCTAATTACCATTTATATCTTGGGTATGTATAATAAATACATCAAACAAAAATATCTTACTTCATCAAATGAGTGGCCTCATATCAAAGATAGACGCCTGTCGTTTTTAAAAAGTTGAGTAAAAGCCAATTTTCTAAAAACGTTGTTAAATAAAATCATCAGCGACAGTTTGAGTTGATAATACAAAAATTTACTTTTTCCCTGCTTTCTGAAAATGGCAGATGTCCGTCTTTGATATGAAGCTACTCATATATTTCTAAATATGAGGCTTCGACGTTTTTAATGTTTAAAAAAAAAAAAAAAAAAAAAAGAGTTGTTTTCAAGAATACATGAATATACCGTGAAGGATTCTCTTATCTAAGTTAAGAAAGTTTGATCCATAATTTATATTTCAATTATCAATAACTGGATATCGCTACTCTGAGGCCGTTTGTCAAATTGATTTTTTTTTTGCAAAATAGCTTAGAAAACTGATTATTTCTTTATGATTTATTAGTATAATTTGATATTTTATTTCTCTATAACATTTTCCATATTAGTAAATTATTTATTGCAGTTGTACACTACAAAATTTCACCATTAATCCAAATAGATTTAACGTAGAAAAATTCTTTTTCACTCACAGTAGTAGATAGGTATATACCCCCTTTTATCAAATTATTAACATCCGGCTGAAACTTCGTAAATAGCTTCATCTCATCGTAACCTAGAAATATTTTATTTTCGGAAAATTCTCGAAATTGGGTTGAGTTTTCAACCTGCAGATGGGCAAACTTTGTCTATTTAATTAGGTACTAAAATCCGTAAATAACTATTTGATTTCCACTTTAATCGTAAGATAACCTGAGCACAAGTGGAGAAAAAAGGTGGCCTTCAAAAATATTGAGCCATTTTGCGTGTCCTCAACCTCCATATTGTCAAAATAAGAAGGTTATATAGGCCAAACGAGGTAATATTTTTTAAGGTCACCTTTTTCTCTCCACTTTGTGCTCAAGTTATCTTACGATTAAAGTGGAAATCAATTGGGTATTTACGAGTTTATAGTATCTAACTGAATTGACAAAGTTTGCCGACCTCCAGATTGAAAACGTCCCAATTCCGACAATTTTCGTAAATAAAATATTTGTAGGTTATGATGAGATGAAGCCGTTTACGAAGTCTCAGCTGGATGTTAATAATTTGATAAAAAGGAATCTGTAACACGGACTGCTTTATATTGTGCTTTATATTTCAATATTTTCTTGCCTCAGTGTTAGAAAGCATGATGAAAAGTTTATCTATCAATAGCTAGATAATCGGTTAGAATATTTTTAACTGTTAGGTTTACAACGATTATATGGATTTGAGTACACACCAATTATGCTTTTGTACTGCATCGACCTGTTCATAATTATGTTTCTAGCCTGGACGTTTTAGCATACATTTATGGATCCTGGAAATGGGAAGAAATATTGAATTTGAGATCTTGTTATTCTGATTCCCTTTAACTGGGAATATTAAACCTGAATTATACTTGTAATATTATTCAAAATTTTCAGAAATAATTGTATATTCAGGCTGTTATGATTAGAACCATAATTATCTACCTCTACATTTGCGATGATCGGAATTTCGCTCCACCACTCGACGTGACGTATGATGCGGAGCGGCTTCAATGTTTGGTAGCCGGTAGCTCGTTAAGTGATTTACAGAATCCTGGTACAGAGGCAATCAGGCGGGCTGCTATTTGCAAAGCCGCACATACTCCAAACGGAAGCTGGCTACTTCAGTAGGACTAATTTCATTTTCCTGACCCTCTGGTGTTGCGGATACAAGTGCCTCCTCCATCCCTCAATCCCATAATTTAATTGGACAACTTTGTTCCCCAACTCTGCCTCGGAGGGGAATTGCTTTCTACTCGCCGGGAGGGGGATAGGGAGGTCTGCTTGGGGACAGTCGCCCCCTCCCCGTGTTATGCTAATAAACCTAGTGTTCTTTTTTATTTCTATCCTCTGTCTTCTTTTCTCTTTCTTCTTTGTAACTTTCTCGAATCTCCTCTTGCAATCGTATAAGTAAAAAAAAAAAAGAAGTCCTTAACGAGTCTCCACTTTCCTTAACTTTAATGAATTTCGAACAAGTCCCCTCACCCCTTCTCCGCACCCCCAATAAATAGGCTTTTATCTTTTCTTTGGCAAAGGGTTGGCAGAATATATAAGTTTTAACACATTGATACTAAGGATGTACATCTCAAATCTACATATGAGTCATTTTAAAAACATATTCATTGGCTTTAAAAAAAAACATATAAATTTATAGAAAAAAAAATAAAGCTCTAAAATAATCCATACAATTTTTGAATAGTTTTAATTTTTGTTTTATTTTGCACCTTTTTCATTCACATTTATAATGATTGAATATTACTTTGGATTTCTTTATAGAGTTAAGTTCGTTATTTCGAAAAAAAAAGTCAATATGCTGCTCTCAGAAATGATTTGACTAAGGATTGAGCGAAGATAAAAAAAAAAGTAAGAAGTAAAAAGGAAGGAAAGAAATAATAGAAACAAAAGTAAAAAGTTGCATTTTTCAATAATTCCAAAACAAAAGATGAAATATAAAAAAAATGTAAAGTTTTCGAAAGTACCTTTTCAAATAAAATTGATTGGGTCTCTTAATAGATTTTTTTTTTACTTTTATCGTTTATTATTATTTTTCTCCTCGTTGATATTTTCAAGATTTTATATCCTACTTCATTTTTTTTCTATCTACATCTCCTCTATTATTATTTTGTTATTGTACTTATTTTCACCATTTATATCTATAATATCTATTCACATAAACATGGCTTTCCAGTCTTACAATGTGTTATAAATA